ACTAAATGGGTTAAAGTACTAGTACATAGTATTTGTTCAACCTTACTTTACTACCTCAATGTCAGCAACGTAATCCCGACACATAATTTAGATTGCCAGACACATCATTTAGATTGCCAGACACATCTAGTTATGGCATGACTTTCCAATGATCCGAAAAGCAGTCATTATCCTGTTGACCTCAATCCCGTGGATATAATTTGAACCAAGTGATCAATAAGCCACTTATATTAATACTGTCTCAAAGTGCATCTAAAACAATACATTTTAAAGACTGAAGGCATGTTCAAAATATAATAATATCCAGTCTCACTTATTAAAGCTAAGAAATACATTATTTCAAGTCCATTCATTGATAAATATTTTAAGGAAGCCAAAGAAAATCACAAGAAACCCTCCAGCCATAATGACCGGCCCTGTACAAATGTGATAGAGCAAAAACTAGACAACGCTCCATGTAAACCGTATTTTCAGATAACCTTAACCAACATAGATTAACATTTTGAGTAAGAATAAGACAATTATTCCATTATACTAATTTCAGTTACATTATCAAGAGGATTGTTATCAATCTCTGGAGCACACTGTGCAATCCATCCGTTTGATGACACATGCAAAGTCCAAGTCTACCCATTTAAAGCAATCAAAAGCAGTTTTTGCAAATAAAGCACAATGCAAACACATGTCCATAGTTGTGACCAGCTTACTGAATATACTGTCTTATTATTTTAAACTATCCCAGTAGTTGTGAAAAAGTGACTGATTGCATATCAACTCGTTTCCCTGTGAAATGGAGAACTTTCCACACAGATCCAACAAAAGTTCTTTAAAAACAATTGTAATTATACTCTTTATATGTGCGAGTTCGAGTATGATTAAAATGGTAAATATGTTGTTAGTGGTACTATATCAGACTCATAATTTCTGACTACATCTAGAAAACCGGCTAACAAAGCCAAGTATACAATTTTGACCAAAAGCAACATCAACAAAGATTTTCTACTGATCAAGTAAGAACGCGGCTGAGTTCATCCTAACAAGGACTTCCCAAAGCCTTTCTTTCTGGAGATAATGTAAACGACATTGGGAGATTACAACCAAGAATATTTAAGTACATAGTGGCCCATCACTTATAAAAGCTGTATTCTATGAGAAATGTATCGCCCCCTTGTATCTTGAAAAAACAAACAAAGCAGATGTCTGCATAATGTGGGGAAGCAGCTCAAAGTGCAATATTACATTGTTGTAATAGATTGTTGTAAAACTAAAATCGAATTCAGATTGGTGGCAGTTTGCAAACAGCTATGCACCATTAAGGTGGACCAACCTTGCCTTCCCAGTTCCCTTACCTGGTGTCTATCAGTCAGCAGGCCTGTGTCACTGGAGGCTCCAGAACAAGACTGAACATCTTCTCGACTACCTCACTGTGATCCTTTAGGTCCTCTGATTGGGTGACCTTTTTACAGTTATCCTCTTACACTCATTAATCTTATAAATAAATGTGTCATGGAATGTAATTATTATGCAGTATCATCAGGGGACAACAGAATGCCATTCTCAACTTGAAGACCTCTGATGTTATTATTTATTTTTTTCAGCGAGAAAATTAAAGTTGATTCAGTTTCGCAGATTTGTATTTTTCTGTCCATAGAGTATAATTGTTGTAATACTATGTATTTAGCCAAGAACAGACAAAGAAAAGACATCTAAAATATCTTTCAAGTCATTATTTAGCTTTCAAATGCAGTTCTGAGTAATCACATTACAGGCTATTGAGGTAAACCTGACAAGTTCCTGTCACTACTAATTGGTGATTTCCTCAAATGGCTATTCATTTTATTTAATGACATAAGGTATATATTAAATTCACACTTTGTTCTCTATCTAATAATTACAAGATGCAGTTAACTTTAATTCTTTACCCTTTGTATACCAAATTGTAAAACTGATATGTTACATCCAAAAGATGTTATACGCCCAGGTTTTAAATATCTGAAATATAATTTCCCATTGACCTCTGTGGATGCTTACAGTTAAGGAGTTCCTCCCCCTCATCACTTCTCTTTTCCAAGCGCCTGATCATAGTCAGCTGACTGCATGATAGACAATGAGCAGTGGCAAACAGCTTGGAGTTCTCAGGTCCCTTAAGGGCAGTCTGTGCTTGCTGTTTTGTCTCCTATATTTCCAACTAAAATAAAAAATGATCTCTCTGCAGTAGTTTACATCTGTTCTCAAAGGACCGGTCTGCTTATCTGTACTGTTAAACGATGATAATGCAATGTTTCACAGGTCTAAAGCTGGATCATAGAAAAGGCCATAAACCAGCAATATCACTGAGCAACTACATAATCCTAAAAGCTGAAATCCTCCGTCAATGAGTCTCTAATCCTATCCATGTCCACTCACATAAACAGCTGGCAAAGCCACTACAAGCATTAGAAATGTTTTCCCAATCATAAAAGGATGACTTTAATCTTAATTCTTTTACACACAACATGCTTAAAGCAAGTAGCTGGATTTTAACACTACCGGGGAAATCATAAACCTAGTACAGTCCCTCTCTGTCAGTTGTGACCGGTTACTGTGTAATTAGTACCACTCCTGCTTTAATAAACTAAGATGAAGTTGTCAAGGAAGCTGTGTATATATCAAAGTAATTTGCGAATTACATACCAACAGGCACACTTAAAAGTAATGTTAAGACAAGTGATCAACATACCTAACATTCATATTGTCTAAATGAAGTCTGTGCACAGGTTTACCAATGAATGCGTGTTCTGTGCTGGTAGTTGACTTAGTCACTGTGTGCCGTTCTGTGATTTGTCTGCAACAGTAGGCTCGTTTGCATTGTATTTGAATAGCTGCTGGATGGCCGTTTTATTCAGTTTGTTACTCTGGTATGTTTAGAGGGTTGGGCTGCTGAGGCTCTACACACACTTCACGAGAAAATGAGTTGTAATTCAACACTATAATGTGGCAAAATAGAGAGGATAAGACTGTTAGTATCCGACTACGTCTAATGGGATTTCTACGTTCACTAAACGCTGCACAGTGTAATGATAATATGAATTGCACTGACGGAAATCTAAGAAGATGCAGCTAAACGCCATCTTGCAGACGGCTGCCCGCTAGTTAGCCTGCTAGCTAGCTGACAGTGTAGGCCTGCAGGCAGGGAAGAGCTAGTTTTGAAGAAATAAATGTACGGTCTCTTTATTCGCAACAACATCGCTTGTAATTGAACAATGTCCGGTATACAAGCGAAGTCGATATAACGTAAGCTGCATTTTATGACAGATAAATTAAAGTTTATAGCATCTAATGCAAAAAAACACAACCGCCGCTACTTCAGGGTGGACTCAGCTGCTCTTCCGCAATTGCACGGAGTGCTATTGTGTTTAGCTTCTAAGCCAATATAGTGGGCTAACCGAGAAACTCGGTGGTTGCGTGGCCTTCAGTAATCCACTTACTTACACACCAACAATCTCGTTAAACCCGACAGTGCAAAGTTGATTTGATTACGACGCATCCGTATATTTATTTGGTTCTCTAATCAGCCTGTAAAAACTGCAAGGTCGGGCGGCTGTGGCCTGTTTGACTTCAGTAAGCAACAAATGCTACACCAGATGCGGGTGATTTATCATAAAGTAGTAAGATGACCATCTATTTTACCTCCTGCAGAACTGCAAATTAGCCATCTGATGGTGAATCAATCAATAACATTACTGACCTAAGTTAAAGGCGTTGCACCAGTCGTCCATTGCAAGAAAATCAGCGATATGCTAACTTATTACTTGAGGTAAAAAAAAAAAAAAAAAAAGGGTGTTAACGCGGCTACAATAACTCACGTTAATAACATGTAGCTGATGCAAAGTTGTGTGTAGGGTGACATTTTAACGCTGATTAGTGATGCTGGCTGCTCTGCTATTGCCAATAACCAATAATAGTTGTTAATTTATTTACGGGACGTTCATTGTTCAAGCCCAACCCAATGTGTCATCATCCACTGACACAAACATCCTTAAAATGAACGTTAACATTCCGCGGAACGTTACAAAGCAAAACCCACAACCAACTAAAGAACTTACGGTGTTAACGATATCACTTCAGCAGTGTTCAATACCGTTTGGGCATTAACTACACAGTACTTTAAAGTACTGTGTTTTAGGCCAAGAAGCACCTCTGCAGGGCCATAGCCGACATCGAGCCTCACTGGCCAACATGTACGGTACTTAAACGCAAGCCAGGAGCTTTCCTAACACTAACAGTAGCGTTAGTTAATTAACCGAACTCAATCGACTGGATGCAGAAGGCATTTATGTGGAGATATGTTTTGTAGCAATCAGTTTATCCACCGAAAATACTGAGCGTCAGGCTCCACCGCTGCAGACAGTCTTGTACTTTTATCCGCCAGTATTTGCTCATGATATAACAGCCACCTGAAAGTTAGCTAACAGTAGCTAATGGCTAGGAAGCTATCTATCGCTAACGCTACCCCACCCCCGGACAGCTCTCTTCCACAATTAATCAGCAAAGGGTATTAACATTTAAGTTACTGTGAGAGTTGTGGAATCAGCATTATCGTCGCTTCATTTCACCTTACCTGATTCAATTTGCGTTTGGTTTTGGCATTGACTGGAGAGCAAGACGGCGTATACCTCCGATCCACGCATCAACGAACACCACAGCGCTAGCTCACTAACTAGCTAGCCAGCTAGCGTTAGTTTTCCGAGGAGCAGCCCTTCCCGAACGCAGGCTACGGCTAGGGAGCTCGACAACCTCAGTCAACCAACCGGAGAGGGGAGGGAGGGAGTGGGGGGAGAGAAATCACACCCACTAGCCTTGTACCGAAGACACTGCCCAGGCAGACAAAAAGGTTAATCTTCAAAGTCACTATACCTCATTCAACAAGACAGCCTACTGTCTCCCTTTTTGCCAAGCTTAACATCTGCCCCTTTCCGTAATTACACTCTGGTCCGGCCATCGAACGGGGAGATGGGGAGATGGGCGCGGTAACCCTGCAGTCATCGCTGGGAAACCCCACGCTGCAGCAGCGAGGGGGTAGAGAAGGTTCGATTGGTGTTTTATCTACAGTTGGACACTATCAATCACTTTGAACAATGTTGAGCACTTCTCATTTACTGGATCATTTCACCAGAGGGTTCTGAAAGCAGAGAGAACATGGTGTTCGTTTGTTTTCTTTCAGCCCCCTTCCAACACATAGGCTGAGTCAGTTAGTCGGCCCCGACTTGACTCCTGAAGTAGGAAGTGATAGTAATGATTTCAGCAGGGCTCTAGTAATAGCACTGTCAACAACATGATCTGGCCATAGTTAATTAGGAAATAGTGTGTTCTCTTGCTGTGGTGCCCAGGTACATAGATATATTCAGAATAGGCTACAAATAATATACATGTAAACACCACACTTACTAGTTATTGGTCCTTTTTGTGGTGTAATTCGGGGAAGCTGTCACAGTAAAACGTATCCTTTCACCTGAAATATCACAAAATGATCATAAATGATCGATGTGCCGTTGTTAAATTGTTTGCTGTAGTTACAATACCTCAAACAAATAGTAGTTATGTTTTGTGTGTGCTGGAAGTTTCATTGAGATTAACATATCTTTTACAGGAGAGACCTGAAAACATACATAATATATATTGCAACAAGACAATTCAGTCACAAAAAGCAGTCATTACAGAAAGAGTGGTCTTATTATTAAAATATGAAGTACGTTAAAGTCAGAGGAATGAGTGTATCTAACTCTAATTTGAATTGGCATTTCGGTGCACATTTTACTAGAAACCAATAAAGGTAAAGAAGTGCACAGTTTACAACATACCAAACACTTTGTATATGAAGGATTGGAATCATAGACAGCATACATAAACGTCATAGGCTACAGTCGATGGTTGGAACTCACATAAAATAATTGCTTTCAATTGAGTGAAGAGTTAAATTGAAGCATTCTCTTTTAAATTATAATTTGTGTTGAGTAAATGAAGTGAACATATTAACTAAGGTTTCACATCTCAGACACACATCTAATCAGCTGTCAAGCCCACTGCCTTTATAGCTGGTCAACCAATACTCTGTCTGTCTCAGTTTTCTCGAGCCACCCATCCTTCCCTTCCATCTTCTAATCACCTTCCATCTATCCTCCATATCCTTCATCCTCCCTCTTTCTTTCAGTCCTTACCTCTTCCTTTTCTCCATTCTTTATAGCCAACTGGAGCTCGAGATAGGCTTGGGTGACTGCATGCAAATAAATTGTGTCGCAAAGATGCAGAAACAGATTGCTTTGCCATTGCTTTGCCAGGTCATAAACAATATAATATAAGCATATTATAACAACAACAATTTTGCCAGTGAGTTGTGTAAGTCAGAAGGAGCCCAATGAGTGTATTCTGGTCATTTCATACAGTTAAATTGACCAGAATATTCATTAATTTATTAATTGTTTCCTCCACAAGATTGATCCAAACTTCAGTGTCTAAAATGAACAATCTTCTGATATGGCTGCTCTGTCTAACATGACTTCATTTGTGGTTCAAATTACGGCTCAGCTGTGAAAATGTGCATCATGAGTGTACAAAATGAGAACAATATACATTTTAATGGTACTTTTTTATTGATTAACTTGCTGACTATCAAATAATGTAAATATTAAGTCTCAATCCCCAAACAAGTCTGTCACAGTTTTCATTTTGGTTTACTGTATCTTACTGTATGCAGGTGGAAGACAGAGATTCAAAGCCCTTCCCATTGACTAACAAATGTGAAATCTTACTGTTCTCATTGCAATGTGGAAAATAACTTCTTGCAGTTAAGTGCCTCCTTATTTAGTTGTCACAGAGTACAAAGGAGTTTTTGAGATGTTTAACAAAGAGGGAAACGGAGATGTGAAGACACAGGAGCTTGAGAGGCTGATGAGTTTAATGGGGATCAATCCTACAAAACGAGAGCTCAGCCAGATGGCCAAAGACGTGGACAACAATGGTGAATATAAACTCATACAATGGAAATGTATCATTCTTACATTTAACTTGCCTTTTTTACCTTTATGGGCCACCGACTAAGTTTCAGATAATATATATTAAGGTATTACACACACCTGTGACAGCATATGAACTTCCACTTTATTGTGTAGGCCTATATTTATGTGTGTGTGTGTACATATATATATATATATATATATATATATATATATAATATATAGGCCTATAGGTGTAATATATATTACACTTAAATGTAATCCAGCCCTGCCATAAATCTTTTTTTAAAGCGTATAATGTTAATTCTTTTGTTGACACTGTCAGAAAGCTGCAGAGTCAACTCTATATTTGAGACCATTGTGGTGCTGGTGGTGGATTTGACTGTGTTATATTGTAAGATGGTTCTATTTCTATACATGAGCTACATCTTTAAAAGCCTTTAAGTAATGCCTTGTATATATTCTAAGATGCACCCGGAGGTGAGGAATTAGAAGCTTTATCTAAAGTTCAGCCCAAACCAAGTAAGTAATTAAAGTGCTAAATTTGGCTCTTTAATAATAACCTGGCCATTAACCCAAGCTTAACTGTAGGAGTAGATACAATGTATGTTTGCCACAAGGTCAAGATTAAGTAATCTGAAGACATATTTAGAATTATTCTTTGCAGATGATCAAATTTGGGTTTTAATTAAATGCAAGTATTTATAGTGCAACTTTTTAAGAGAGAAACATCTTCCAAAATGCATTACAAAAACATCGGAAACTGTAGTTTTCTGTTTTTAGTGCAAGTTACAAACAATATCACTAGGTGTCAGTGTTTCACTATGTGGGATTTGGGTAAAATGGGTCTATAAAGAGACTGTTGGTGCATCCCACAGTGCACCACACACACACACACACACACACACACACACACACACACACACATACACACGTACACAAGCAATTACCTCAAGATAGGATCAGTCGTATTGGAGTTAAAGTTAACACTCTGCAATAGGGCAGTTGGAAAAGGTTTGTTTAATTAAGATGTTATTGATGTCAGTTACTTTCCAATTAAATTCACTTGTTCTACCTACAATTTAGAGCCTTGTCTAAACAATTAGTTCCCTAACATAAACAGATAGTTTACTGCCATCACTGTGAAATTGAATCATACAGAAACGTTATAAAAAATATAAAATATAAAAAATCTCCAATTACTGTCATTTGACTTAAGGGCTTCATTTTGTGCTCATCAAAGCATTAAAAACTGCACCATGATGTTCTGCCTTCTGCTAATTTAAGAAGGAGGCATTGTTTGAGTTTAGTTTTTTTGGTATAACTTTTATGTCAAATGAAGTACATTAGGCTAACCTTGACGAACACATTTTATAATTTACCATTTCCTTTCCTGTTTCCTATTTCCTCTACTCTTACCTTTCTCTCTTCATGTCTCCCATCTCGCTCTGAACTGAAAAGGGGAAAGAACACATGCTGCCATTTTTATGAACTCTATTTTGGCATTTTTATGTCAAAGAAGTATTACAGAAATGTGTTAACTTATAGATTTAAAACATAGATTTTTAAATATCAGCCCTACACACCAAATCGTTTTTATCCAAATTGAAGAATCTAGCTAAAATGTTTGGGTTCTCATAAAAATGTAAGACGTAAACAGAAGACGTTCTTTAATGCTAAAATGTCCCTCAACAAATTCATTCAATTCATCCATTGTGACCAGTGACTGGTGTTTTTCAGAGATACGGTATGTTGGGATGCAGATAATTGTAATGGATGTGATGTTGATTTTATTCTTTTAATTTCACTACTCACAATCCAACAAACGATTAAACAAAAGTTACTGTTCTGCACACATATAATAATGTTTTTTTAAACTGATTATTTTTGTGAGTCTTCAGGTAAAGGGATGTTTAACTGTGACAGCTTCCTGGGTCTGATGGCACTGTACCACGAAAGAACCAAAAACCAGGATGCTGAACTCAAAGCGGCTTTTAAAGTATTTGACAAAGAGGCCAAAGGATATATCGCCTGGAACACACTCAAGTAAGAATAACATAAGTAATAGAAAAGCAAGGCATAAATATTTACCCTACACTTAACAAGTACATTCTTTATTCACTGTTAATTTGATCTATTTTATACATTACACTGCACTGTCAACTATTATTTGTTTTGATCCCAAATTAAAATCCAGATAAAACAAATTAAATTGTAAAAAATGATGTCCACTTGTTTGTGTTTACTCAGTTTATTCACATTATTTTTTCCTTGTGCGTTTCCAGTGTTTCCCTTAACATTTAAAATTAATTTCGATGATGAATGCAGGGGAACCACTTAATAAGATTGCGGCAGAGCAGATGATGAAGGAGGCAGATAAAGATGGAGGTGGAACCATTAATTATGAAGGTTTGAATGTATATTTCACTTACAAGCCATAACCACTCAAAAAAAACCTTCAGGTCATAAAGTAATCAGGATATATCCATTATGTTTTTACAAATGTATGTATGCATGCTTGTGTAAATTTAAACACAACAGCCTTCAGTAAACTTTGTAAATGTATGTGAAATGTTATGTTTCAGATTGACTCCAGAAGTGTTTCACCTGCCACCTATACTGTTGTGTATACACTTAAATTACAAAATATATGATCCTTAGTTTACCATATTGTAGTATTTTGTGACTAGGACCGCATTTATTCATTTTTTAAATTCAAAAACGTCCAAATACACTTGTATATTCAAAGATATGTTGTTAGATTGAAATACATGGGATGACAAGGTAATAAGTAAATTACACAATTCAATTAGTAAATTTGCTTATTTAAACTCTTTCAGAATTTGTGGCCATGATGACTGAGGACCCGTTCAAAATGAACTGAAGACTGTGTGGATATTCTGCAGCTGTTGTGCACATCTGTTGCAGTTACACACGATTATAAGACAAGTTTGGTTTTCAACACATTTTTATTTGTACAAATAGAAATGTGTGCAATCACATATCTGAGTGAGTTGTGAATAACTGTACAAATCCTAATAAAGTAAAAGGAATCTATGGGGGCGATTTGTCAGTGATCCCCCCCCCCCTCTTTCCTTGTCTGTTTTGTCAAAGAGTAAATCCAGATCCTGGAGATTAAAAGGTTAAATAAAAGACATCATAGGGTTAATTTCCTCAGAGCTGCCACCCGGATGCAGTCATTCACATGGGTCTGACAGCATCTGGTGTGCAGAGCCATTAAATCCCATTCTCATCCCGCAAAGCCAAATAGACAGTTGAGGGAGCCAACCGCATCTGTCATCTTGAAGCCATTAGACCAATAACAGGGTGGCGGGGGAGGGAGCTTGCCGCACTGATCTCTGTTTGCAGCATCCCTGGAGCAGCGTCTGTTGCTCTGTTGTGTGAAATACAAGAAAGAGCAAGACGGGGGGGGGGGGGAGGAGATCCGAGCAGGCAACCGGAGAACGGGAAGGTGATCCTTGGAGGCTGCCGGGATAGGGTTAAATCTGGTGTATGGAGTCCATCCTCACAAAGAAATGGCTGTTTTGTCAGTGTAAACAGCCTGTGCAGTACCTGCATTGCTGAAGGGGGAAGCAGAAGAGGAGGAGGAGGAGGAGGAGGAGGAGGAGCAGCCACTGGAGGAAATGCTGCCTCTTCCAGTGAAATTTTCGTCTCTCTAGCTAACCCCGGTCTGCCGCAGATCACCTCTGAATTCATGCATGTTGTATGTTAAGGTACGTCTGCATCTCTAATCTGAGAGGACACATGGTAGTAGGACCCGGTCACGTTGGCGGGATTAGCAGCTCAGCTGTTTGGACAGGACAGCTGAGATGAGATACATGTTATGTGTCAGTAGCACACAGTAATAAGACTAAAACATGATCCAAACAAAGATGTCTGTCTTGTTGCAGTGCAGGGGTTGTTAACTATAGGCAACAGTGATGACTGAATCCAGCCTTTGGTTTTCATTGTTTGTTTGCTTCAGCTGCACGTGTTCCTCATTAAGGGCTCAGCAGACAGGATGCACTAAGGAGAAATGGATCATGTGTCTATTTTCTGCTTTTAAAGGAAACGTTTTATATCTCATAATATATGTAAATCTTCGGCATACGATGCTCCTCTCTCTCATGTGATGTGTACAGTGTGTGTGTGTGTGGGTTGGAGGTACATGTACCGAGGGTTTGGATGCAGTGGATATTTATGGAAGCTGTGTGTATGGTAGCGTGTGTGGGTGTAAGTTAGATTTTGATGCCAAAACATTTCCTCACAGTGCACGTTACAGTTTGAGTGGTTATTATTCCTCTGCATTTTATCAAGTTTGTTATGCCACTTTCCTCCTGTGCCTTTGCTACCCACATCCTGCCCCAAAAACACCCACCACACGCCTGCTGGCACAACCAGCCGTGGTTTGACTGAAATTGAGCGTGAGGTGTGCCAAAACTAAAATGTTTGAATTTTTTCAGTAATTAATCAGTGCACAGAAGCAAATTGGAAATTATATTTAAGTAGTTTGGCTGCATTTAAAGGAACACTTCATTTGTATTCATGCTCCCTACAATAACCATTTACTTATCACATACTGTTTAACCTTTTTGTTTCAGTTTTAGGTTTTATTCTCCTCATCATATGACCAGCGTATCATCAATGCCCCAGCAGACCTCAACCCAAAGGGAAGACACCTGTGTCGACCATGAGATGCAGTAGAGGCTGAGCGACACAACGACATTCACACACACAGAGATCAAAAATACATCCTTCCGTTGAAACTGTTACGCCTGACCATGGCTGTTACTGCAGCTAAGACAACTACAAGTTTTCTCTCTACAACTGCCACGACCACCGCAATCCCCTTCCTCTCGACGAGCAAGAGCGCCAGAGACAATGTCACCTCAAGAACGACATTAATGACTGTTACTATAACAACAAATGACACCAGCTTCAATGCCACGGCGTTTCCAGAGGCGGTGATCGAGGGCTCGGGAATGGGAATGGTGCTCGTACCCTTTGGCATCATCACTGTCATTGGCTTGGCCGTGGCAATTGTGAGGAATCATTTTAAATATTGTCTGTAAAATAACATTTGATTAAGTAGAAATTCATTTTTTTCTTACTTGTACTTGTACTTGTATTGCGCTTCTCTAGTCTTCCGACCACTCAAAGAGCTTTAACACTGCATGTCATCTAAACATTCACACCCATTCATACACTGATGGCACAGCCTTTGGAAGCAATTTGGGGTTAAGTGTCTTGCCCAAGGACACATCGTCATGGACTAGAGGAGCCGGGGTAAACCGTCGATCTGCTGATTGAGGGGCGACCCGCTCTACCTTCTGAGCCACAGTCGCCCACATTTGTGTATAATTGTCTTGACACATGTCATTGGTACTATATACTTGCATTCAGTCATTTCATTTGTGCATGTTACTTCTATCAACAACACTGCTTGTTTGTTATTATATCTGTCTTTCTCCATCCTAGATGCTGTATATTCGGAAACGGAAGCGGTAAGTTTACAAAGACTTTTTTTGCTGATTCCACAGCTTTAGTTTACGACATGCCAATTGGTTTTAGTAATTTGATTATTTGCAGCACCACTAAAACATAGTATCAACTAAGTCCTTAAGTATTAGGTTATTTTGTGGCAGTCTTGTAGAGGGGCCCTGTGTCAAAATCTAGTTTAATAAGCTTTATTATTTTAGTTTATACATGTTGCCACAGAAACAAATTTGTGTATTATTCCATCATAGGAGTACTGGTTGCACTAGTTGGAACTTGGAGACGTCAGTATATATATATACACACATTGGTGGAGGCTTTGTAGGGGTCAGCACCTTTTCGCCCATTTTTTAACTAGGTTAATCCGGCATTGCAATGAGGTATACTTTCTCCTCACTTAAACTGGGTAGATAATCTTGAGAGACTTGTAAGAGTATGCTAGATTTAAAAACAATTATCCAACCCAGAAACCCAGTCCAGTGTTGCCAAATCATTTTTAATGAAAGTAGACCGCAGCACTAGCTCCAAGAGTTGCTAAATCTAGCGAGAAATCGAATGAGAAATCGAGTGAGAAATCTCGTTAGAAGATTACCAACACTAGATTTAAATGCTGACTGGTCTTCATCTTTACACTCTTGTCATACAGGTTGGAGAAGCTGAGGCACCAGCTCATGCCCATGTACAACTTTGACCCGGCTGAAGAACAAGATGACCTGCTGGAACAGGAACTACTGGACCACGGCCGGGAAGGCAGCCTCACAGGTCCCAATGCCAAGGTAAAGTTCTCACAGGAACCACTGAAGCTGTTTGACAACATGCCTTAACTAGAATGAAAGCGCTCCCATTCAGACATGGTGAGTGGATTGATGACCACAAAAGCCATGATAACTATATTCTAATGGCGTAGACAATTTTTACCATGATCAATAACAAAACACAGACATTTTTTATCTATATTTGTGGTGCATCAAAGCAATTCTTTTGGCTCGTGTTAGCTGTAGATTTAATAATGTCCACTGTATATTTTACATGTTATTATTTTTTGATAAATTCTCAATTTTTGCCATTTACTGATGATCAGCTTATTTTGTACAATTTATAGCGGTGAATTTGTAACTGTTGAAATTTGTTTGTTTTTTGTCATAATTTATCTTTACTTCCTTTGATTTCTTTTAAGTTTTAACAATGGCATAATGGTAAAAGGCAAACATGGTAAAGTATCATCTGTGTGTCTTTTGAACCATCTCTCATCCTCATTCTATCATTATTTCAGTATCTCAAACTAATGTTGTGTAATGTTTATTGTTTCTCATTTTATATGAACTATCTTTAATCTATATTAAAGTATATGCTAATAGAGGACACACACCATCACATTCAGTCGTAACCTTTAAACATGCATCCATATTATCTTTCATTCTTTCCTTTGTGCTCCCTCAACTTAATACTTTGATAATCAAATATTCCAGGGGCCACATGCAGTCAAAAAGTATGCAAAACACCACTTTTTGTGATATTTTTTAAATAATTAAATCAATCCATTCATGAGTTTAATACACACGTTGAAGATTTCTAGTGGTACAATCGGAGTGATATGTTGAGAAGTACCGATAAGTGCTGTTTTATTTATTATTTGTTGTTTTTTAGTTCAGTAGCAAAAGTTTCATAACATGAACGTAAGCTCACAATCTAATTAGCCCACTTATTAGCTTTTTCCATAGCTTTCAATTCCATCTCACACATGGCAACTAAACCAAACTGAGCGAATGTCATTCCTTAAAAAAGTACATGAAATGTTTGCATACTCTTTGGTTTTATATGTGGCCTCTGGTCCGAACACATTTTCTCTGGTTTCAGTTGTCAGTCACACTTTACATCCTCAAATATTAAGTTGATTCAGCTGTTTTGATGGTCCTAAAATGAATAAAAAGGGGACAAATAGCAGTCAATACTATTTCTTACAATCCAAGGCTGGAGAGCCTGTTTGATCTTAATGTCACTAACAGTTGTATCTCCCATCTGCCCTGCTGCCCATCTGCTCTGCAGACTCTCACAACCTCGCAGGGGACCACGCAGAGGCCCAGTCGCCTGGTCTTCACAGATGTAGCCAAAGCTCTCAATGCTTAACAGCATTCTTCTATTAGTTCAATCATCCAGAAACAGACTGTCTCCGAGGAAGGAAAACAAAGGGAAAACTGGACTGGTTCTGGCAACAACCGGAGCTTTGGTGAAAGTTTTCATCACTACGACACAGTACGTGAAATGCCCGTGGTTTTCAAAAGAAGAAAAAAAGCGTAGGTTGCATGTATGATGAGGGAGTATAATGGGAAGCATCATGTATGATCTCACACTGCTATCATTTTGAGCACAAATGGAGTGTGATGCACTTTTCTTGAATCATGTTGTGTCATTAGTGTTAAAATTGTTGGTAGCTTGTCAGTGAAGTTCTTCTGAGCTTCAATATCTACTTCCATGTTTGATAAAAGAGAAGTGTAAATTTGTGTTATACTGATTTTGTGGTCTTTCGTCTCTGACAAGCTTGAACTCTGGATGTGTCACCATCCTTAAGTGAACTGTCCCTCTCCATTTTGTTTCTTCTTTATTGAGCAATGAAGGATTGTTTCCGTCTGTATACATTAAAACTATTTAAACCAATTTGATAAAAAGGGTTTTGTTGTACAAATATATAACAAAGGAGTCGATAGGTGTGATATTTTATTGATGAGCGATAAAGAAGCAGAATAACACAAATCACATGGTAAAGAATCATAAAATATATATCACAGGTTTGTGAGTTGTATTAATGAAGTGGATGAGGATCAATAACATAACTACAAAATTGTGTTAAAAGTAAGGCATAGAAGATTATTTCTCAAGTTACACTTCAACATTTCAACAGTTGAAAATGGATCAAGTACTGTATGTAACTATATCACCATCAGTAAGATCACAGACCAACGTTGTCCCAGTATAGAGAGTAAATATCCAGACACAGTGTGTGTAAAATAATAAACATTGACCAAGCTGTAGTTAAATTAAGAGGCACCCTTCAGGCTGACTCTCATTCATTATGGTGACATGAATGGAGTGAGATGAGATGAGTGGACTACAACAGTAACAGTTTGACAGTTATTTCAAGATTTCATGATCCACATCACCTGCAGGTCTGATGGAAAAGATCAGATAAAACCCAAACATTTCCTCAGATGTGTCCCAGGCGTGTTAGTTTTCAGAGGTAGTCCGGAGGGCAAAACAAGTAACGTCAATGCAGTTGAACATGAAAACATGTCTGCCTGTAAATGAATTAAACTCCTCTGGCAGCAATTTAGTCAACAAGCTGAAATACATGAAAGTACTGGGATACAACTCATCATCAGTGATAAAATAAGGAGGTTTTAGGAGAAGGAAAGACTTGATATATACAGCAAATTATGGGTGATATTCAGGTCATGTAATAAACAATTAGTAAGTAATATGCAGTTCATGTTGGATAAATGTCTTCCACGCGTGATGACTCAGGGACAGAATCTGAGGAAGTTGAAGTATTTGCAATAGGCTGTCTTGTTTTGTAAAAAACTCTTTGTTTAAAAAAATAAATTCTTCCAAAACACCAATTTTATTCTGTTGGTAAATGAGTACAGAGTTGTGATGAGTCATTACAGATAAAATTAACTAGTTTTTTTAATGAGATAACTTTTTAAGTGTGGGGTTTTTACACTTAGCCTCTTGTGGTATCTAATCATTCAGATTGTTTTGTGGTAATTTGGGTGAACTGAACTCCTTTATTAAAGCAAGACTAGGTAACTGTTGAAAGAAGAACAACAAATGAATAGTTGAAGTAATAAGCAATAACACACACCCTCAATTCAACATCAGGGTTTTCTTTTGCCACAGTCTCACTTGGTCACTTGACAGATGTTACTAATAAACAATGTAAGTCAGTTTGCTCACTTAATAACTCATTTCTTAATACTTCTATGACACTATTTATGCATTTACCATTCATCCATTACTGTCACATTGTGGCCACAGTGGTCGCTTGTAGTCTTACTTTTAATGTAAAATCGGAAAGGAATCAGCAAGTTGGGTCTTTTTTTCTCTCATAAATTGCTAAAAACGAAACAACTTTACAGTGTTAAGTATTAACAACTTCTCCACAATTCATTTGGCAATTTGCATACAAGGTAACTGTGGTGCTGTTGTTTTGTTGTTTCCCATAACTGTCATGTATTTCAGCAGAGTGTGGTTATTTGCTGCCCTTTCAAATCACACGTATTAAGAGTGTCACACAAACAATTTACAGTGTAAGAATGAGAAAATACATGATGTAGTAAAAATGAGAAAGGACTAACAGACCCCCCAAAAAAAAGTATTTCATAAGGAACTACACCTTAAAAAGCTTAAGTTGTTGTAAACTATTGGCTGCATTTTATTTCCCAGGAGAACAAACCAAGTCTTAATTCAGCTTTTAACAAATACAGTTTTAACAAAAAAGAAATGAGATTTATTTGCTCTCAGATAGTAAAATCCTCTGCGGGAGTGTGCTCCTGTGTGTTGGTATGTAGGCCTGAAAACGTGCCTGTCTGTGTTGTATACCTGCACATGAACCGTTGTGTATGTGTGCGTATGTGTGCGTGTGTGTGCGTGTGTGTGTGTGTGAATAGTGAGTGTGTATGTCATTACTGCTGAAGGAGTGGAGAGTTAGTTCATTGGAGATCTTTTGTGTTACTGAGGTAGTATGAGAGATTAAGAAATTGAGGGCAACTGAGGTTTAAATGAGGTCTTTGTGTCAAGGCATACTGGTAATGTCAAATACAGATCAGAAATGCACAACAAACACGGCACAATAATTATTACTGAGTAGACTGACAACATGTTCCTGAATAGTTTTGTACCTGAGGTTTCAATATGGTGTAAAAGCATTGTAATAGTAAAATCCTGAGTGTGGTAAAATGATGTTTCAACAAAGTATGTATGAGGAGTTTCTTTCCAAAAATGAGATATCCATTCAAACCTTTGGGTGCATTTTTTTCTTGCTGCTGGTTGGAAGGAAAAAAAATCATTGAGGTTATTAATCTAAACTGAACTCTTGCTTACATTGACAATTGAGCTAATGTTTCCACTTGAATTGGATATTTCATTTTGGAATAAAACCTTTCACGTCTACTTTCATAATAATGACTTCAGCACACCATGTTAATTAATATTGTAACATTGCTAAAAAATGTCACCGTCTTGCTCCCATTTCATAGGAGGATTGATGACACTTTATGACTTTATTTAGAAACATGTTTTAATAAAACGGTTCAGGTTTGTTCCTTTTTTCTTTAAAACCCCCTCTCATTTCAACCCGCAAGCCCGTCCCCTCTCCACACAACCACAAAACAAACACACACACACACACACACACACACACACACACACACACACACACACACACACACACACACACACACACACACACACACACACACACACACACACACACACACACACACACCGAGAGGTTCAGGAAAGCAGGCATCCTTGAAGTAGTAGGTGAGCATTTTAGCAAATACACTGAGTTAGATGAGAAGATTGATACAACGAACAATGCGAACATTAGCATAAAGACTGGAAACTCAAAAGGCATATGAACTCCGTCAACAAAAAATGAAAAAAAGGTCTTATTAAAAAAAAAATGTTTGATCCGTACACTTTGATTTGTGTACGGTTCAAACAAATGAGATATAACCTGTTAATTACAGAGCTTTAGAGATGCTGGTAGTTCGATTTTGTAACCTTTGGATAACGCCAAGATAGCTATTTCCAGTCTTTATGCTAAGCTAAGCTAACCAGCTGCTGACAGTAGCTAGATTGACTTGTATCAATCTTCTCATGAAACTCTCAGGCTGGAAAGTGAATAGATGTATTTCCCAAAATGTCAAACTATTCCCTCACCAAAAGCCATGTTCAAAGATCGAATTCCTTGATGTAAAACAGAGTTTGTTCACCAAACTCTTAGCGTGAACCAATAAAACCAGGGTACAGTACCAGATAGAGAGAAGAAACCACTGTCTGCAATGATCTGTGTGTGTGTGTGTTCCTGAATCCACATCACAGATAGGAGTCAGACAGTACCGCTGTTTGTTGGAGGCCAAACCTTGAGGTAGGTAGAGAGGCATCCTATCTACTCCCCTTCCTCCTGTGCTGGAACCTGAGATGTCGAGGGCTCAAACGCCGAGGGACCCTCCTCAGCGTCTTCTGAAGAGTCCTGGAACAGCAAGAGACCAAAAAAAAAAACCCACTCTCACTTTGTCTGTTATTGTCGCTATCTAGTGACTCATTACGCACAGAGTAATAAGTCAATACTAGAAAAAGCACAAGAGAACAAGAATGGGTGTTACAAATTCATTGAGTGATTGCGTGCAGGGAAGTAGGTCCAGCTGTCAGACCTAGAAATGTGAGGAAGACGACGGTTATGTCAGGAAACCAAGAAGACAGAGGAAGAGAACAGTTAGATCAGGTTTCCCCTCTCTACATTGACTCATTCTTCCCCTTTGCGTGCGTACGTCTGAGAAAGGGAGTCTGTCTCAACGGTTTCAGTTCTTGAAGCATCTTTGACAAACTGCTCTCAGAGGAGGGGATGCGATATGGCAGACGAGGGGCATCAAGAGAACTGCCCGCCTCGGTGACAACTGTTGTGCAATGTTTTCTGTTTGAAAAATGAACACGGTGGCTACAAGAACCAAAGTTTCTCAGAAACACAGCGTACATTCACCAAAACGGGATGTTTCGAAAGGATGTTTGGAGGTGTATCTGGGGAATTCAGCACTGCCATCTGTGCATTACCAAGAACTCGTCATATCCTCATGAATTCAATTCATGTAAAGCACAAGGAATACGCGCATCGGTTGCTTCGCTACTTACGTCAAGTGTGCCAAAGCAACGGCACTTTCAGCAGTTTAATATTTGTCTGATAATAGATAGTGCACCAGGATTCTCACAGGTAGAAAGATGCAATATGCTTTTGTTGGATCTCATCATCCTCTCTCTCCATGAGTCTTGTCTTATTAGAAACACCTCTGCATCACTGTTAGATAGATATATCTAATAACTGAATCTATAAAGTATAGAAAAGTCAGAAGAACGTGGTTTGTAGGCTGCAGCACCACTATAATGGGTTCAAAGGGCTTTTGAATGTGGTTTAGGTTTGCTGAACACAAGCTATGGGCCTTAGCATAAGATATTCATGAATAGTTAAATGAGATCGGCTCTGCTTTTCCCTCATCACAAATGAGACTGATCTTAGTCAAAAAGTAAAACGTGTGACAGAAACTGAGATTTCTGCTCAACTGAAGCAGAGCTTGCATCTCTCCACTATCACGAACATTCAAAGTGACTAAAGCTTCAGTTTGAATGATAACTAATAACTGATTAGTGTCTAATTTTAAAAGAAAAACGATTTGTGTGTGTATTTGTGTGGATGTAATTAGAGGCTCTGAGGATGTAATGCTTTTAAAGATTTAAAGATTCTGCAACAAGTCCTCTGCTCAGTTTGTTTGAAATAAGGTCTTACAACAAATGTTCTATAATCATTTAAGAAACTAAATCACAATACATGTTGAGTTAAGGGAACCTGTGGCTTAAAGTGCTACGTCAAAGCAAAACTCAACCACCTTACAGCCTTTTAAAGATTTTGTTTTCCTCACCTGTTGCTCTTCAGCTACTTGAACTACTTTCTGAGGCTGTGGAAAGAGAGGAAACAGAATTAGTGAAACATGAAGCTAAAGGCGCCCTCGAGGACTGTACAGCTCCAGGAGACACCTTGCAGGCTTTGGACACCGTTATGTCTCAAACTGTCAACGATTGCTCCATACCCATTTCCTTGGTCGCCCACGAGGTCGTCTCTCCCCAACGGGCTCTACTTTCTGACAAAGAACAGATGAAATGTTAAGAGGAGGTTTCACATTTAAACAGTCCTTTCGTTCTAATCTCTAACTAAGATTGCGGACATTAACATTTTCATTTGTCGTTTTTGAGACTTTGGCAGCAGAACGAACAGCACTGCAACAAAACTACATTCTTAGTGATTAACAAGGACATAAACAATCCTTTCTCTCAGGTAAATCATTCCTTGAAATGCCATCATGTGCAAGGACGGCAGAGCTGTACATTCAACTAAATACTGCACATGCATCAGTGTTTACAGTGTTTCTATCTGAATAAAAATGGGGATAATTTTAAACCACTAAATTGTAAAATATCAACATCTAAGTACACATATGTATGGCATATTTTGATTTTATACCTGACTCTTAAATCTTCCCAAATGTGAACAGACAACCAATTAATTTGTGTGAATTTGTGTTCATTGACTAATTACAGGCTCATAGACATGTGTTGCTCTGCTTTGATGTAACCAGTTGAACAAGTTCAGTTGCCACATAAGAATTGTTTTTTTAGAAATTGTGGGAAAAGCACTCTGAGCAAAACAAAAAATAATAATAAGTGATTTTCCCTCAATTTTTTGTAAAAAGACTTGTTGCTTCACAGTGTTATTCATCTACAAATGCACAAATGCACAGGCAAACTGGAAAACCGCCAGCAGGGGCAGTACAACAATCTTTCCTCCTGATAAAACATGCCTCTGAAAATTCTCAAACTTAAACTTTAAGAGAAGATTTAGCAAAACTACAATGGGTATCTTTATATTTTTGTATACTAACAAATTCTAAATCAACAATGCAAATGGGAATGTTGCGGATAATGATATAGCTGTTTTATATTGTCCTACAAAAGACATAAACTCAAGAGGTACTACATGGAAAACTCTTAGATGCACTGGCACGTCTAATGCAGATGCACAGAACAGATAAACCCATTAAGATCATATATACAGTATGTCATTCACACATAGACATATGTCTGTTACTGGTTTATTTTTTCTGGAGTCATAGAGATTAAGGGTTGTTTCGACTAAATTGAGAAGTCCCAGATATGATTATTTCTTTCTTACAATATTTGCAATAAATTCAAAACAAGTATTGTGATTTACCACATATACATATATATACACATATATATATATACATATACATATACATATACATATACATATATACATATACATATATACATATACATATACATATACATATACATATACATATATACACA